CGTATTTTCAAGCACTTGTGCAACATTTTCGGTTAGGTTCGGTTTCGGTGAATCGAAACCGGTGCATGCCTGGATCGACCGCTTAATAAGCTGATAAACTTTGTTTCTAGAAGAATACATAAGGCTGATATAACATGAGTTTTACAATAACTAGGGTTTCGAAACGACTATCAACTCAATTTGAAAAATTACTAACTCACTCTAAATACATTATAATGAATTGAGAACTTTAGTATCATAGTAATTTTGTCCACTGAATGTTATAATGAATGGACTCGAAAAACTGAAAAGACGGCCACACGCAGCGCTATTAATTGAACGAAAGCAGTCACTATATTGTACTTTAACTTTTTTAGAGCTAGAGTGTTTTTTATAAAGATCTTCTTAAAATCCTAAATTTTATATTTTTTTGCGAACGGAAAGACGTCCATCAGTCTGCTCTACTGACGGGCGAAAACTGCATGTCTCTCTTTTCATCGAAAAGTTACTCATAAACTAGCCGAATAGATTTTATTTTGATTGTGATAAAGGATCAATGAAGGAGAAATACTTTCTCAGCAGAGATATGAGTTAAGGCAAAGTTATCTTATGAACGATACTGAAATTAAGTGTCTTGCTTTCGTAGGGGAAAACCACTTCTCCAAAAAACCGGTCTCTGGAAACCCAGCATCACGTCTCATGTTGATATTCGGAAGCAGCATGGTAGACCACCTATACTCCACTAGGTTTCGGCCCGAAAGCAATTTATCCGTTGGGAATGTTCCCTCGTAAGAGCAACAGTGGCTGTTAGATATGCCATTTGTAATTGAACAAAATATATCATAGTCACACTAGTGTATTTCCATCGTACTAAGGACACATTTTCTCGTCTTTATATTGTTACTTTTTCTTGATAATGAAATTTTAAATTTCGAAACGTCGACTTCTATATATGTAAACTATTTTCGTGCTCATTTTAATTAAATATATATTTTGTTCAATTACAAATGGCATATCTAACAGCCGCTGTTGCTAATAGTTTTCTACTGAAATTAAGTGTTTTCTCAGAGACTGAAAGGCAAGACACAAAGAAGGTCAAAAAGCGAATTTAAATTACCTTCACAGTTCACGTAGGAACCTATTAAAACAACCAAGTATAATAAAGGATATAATTTCATGTTTATTGTAAAACTTCAATATCAGAAAACAAGTTCTGATGAAATGTAGTTTCAGAATCTACATTAAAGATGCGTTTTAAAACAAAATCTATCACTTCTTTATAACGATGGCAAAATTAATCCATGTTAATAGATGCAATACAACATGATACTGTTTTTAATTTAAGTTTAAAGCCGAGTGCTTAGAACACACATTAAAAGTATAGTATAGTATAATAAATGCTCTTATAATCAGAAAAATCGACTACGCACTTAAATGACTCATTACCACCTGCGATCATTTCCATTTCATCACGGTTTTAATTCTAAAAATTGTTTTATTTTTCACAAACATTACAAAAAAGAAGAAGAAATTGTTCAATTTGGATCAGTGAAAGTTCAACACAGGGAACTTTCAGCGCGGAATATTTAGCATAGAAATGTTGAGCACCAAGAAAAATCATTAGTTCAGTTAATCATCGAATTAGTAATCTTTAATGAATAGAAATTAATTAGTTACTCGACAGTATAAATACATGAAGGAACACCAACATATATGTACAATTGATGGTACAACACTTTAACTTCGAAAATTTGACGAATAAGGACGTTGATAAACCCTTAAGCGCCAAGTTTCATAAAGTTTCGTTCAGTGATTCTCGAGATAGCCTACCGACTTTCTCGTGTAACGTGCTTATTTCGTTAGTTCTGAATGAAAACGAGCGAGAGTTTCTCTGAGCTTGTAGAGAAGAATATTCTGCATCTTTTTATAAGCGCAAATTTTTTTGTGAGAGGTGTTCTTCGAGTAGAAACTGATTTCCAAAAAACTCCTAGCTTTCCAGCTACTTTACATGTTCGTTTCCATTTATCCCACTAACTTTCACGTACGTTTCCAATTGCTCCAAATGGGGTAATTGGAAACATTTGAAAATTTCTCAGCATTTACCTTTTTAATTAGAGCTCAGGCTAATTAATGAGTAGTTGCTAAGCTAATCATACTAATTAATGATTTTTGCACGGGTGAATAGACCAATTATTGCTCTACAAATGGTGAGAATCTCCAAGTTCTACTCATTAATTAGCCTGGGAGACTTGGAGACTTAGAGATTCTCATCATTTGTAGAGCAATAATTGGTCTATTCACCCGTGCAAAAGTCATTAATTAGTATGATTAGCTTAACGAGAAAACTGTTTTTTACTAATGAATTATTTCCCGTGTAAAATACATGGCGTATCCAATTACCCCATCAATTTCTATTGTTATTTCCAATTGCCCCAAGTGGGGTAATTGGAAACGTTCGTTAGAGCTATCAGCAAAACACCGGGAAGTTCGCTTGGGACACGGAGTTGTTATATCCCTCATCGATTATCGATTAACCGAAACTGTTGCATGCCTAATCAAACCAAGTTGGGCAAATTCATCCGAAATGCCCCACATTTTACAAATGTTTTTCCCCTTCATTTAAAAACCAATCTCGTATTATAGAGCTCATAAAATCACGTAAGAAACTGGCTTTTCTCACTTCATAGCCGATGCAGAAATCGAGAAAAATGACTTTTACTCTTTCAGCAAAATTATCGGATTCAGCGTCACTCTCAATGCAAGTTAGTGAGTATCGCCAAAAGTTTTACAACATGTTCTCCTCTTTTTTCAGCAAAGCCCTTAAGATTTTAATCATGGAGTGAGACATGAACTATATTCTCTAAAACTTTGAAGAATGTTCCATGTATGGTTCACGAGATATTGAACTTTTTCACCTCTCATGACCGCCGTAGTACGGTGGTCATAAGACTGGTGGTAGGTAACAGTACGGTGGTCATACGATAGGTGGTAACAGTTTTGTACGGTGACCGTACAAAACCGTTAAGTCAGCAAAAAAGTACAATGGCCAGTCAGCTACTAATGATGGTGGCACCATAGTAACGGCGGCTTCAGCTACCATATAAAAATTTGAAAAAGCCGCATTTTATGGTCATTATCGAACTCAGAATGCAAGAAAACCTATAGGAAGTTGTTGTTATCACAGGTTTAAAGTACTGAGATAAAACTCAAACACACTGCATCTTTACAAATTCAGTATCTCGTGGACCATACATGCAACATTCTTCAAAGTTTTAGAGAATATAGTTCATGTCTCACTCGTTCGTAAAATCTTAAGGGTTTTGCTGAAAAAAGAGGAGAACATGTTGTAAAACTTATGGCGATACTTATTAACTAGCATTGAGAGTGATGTCACACCCGATAATTTTGCTGAAAGAATAAAAGTTATATTTCTCGATTTCTGAATCAGCTATGAAGTCAGAAAAGCCAGTTTCTTACGTAATGTGATGAGCTCTATAATACCAGATTGGTTTTTAAATGAAGCGGAAAAACTTTTGCAAAATGTGGGGAATTTCTGATAGATTTACCCGGTTTTAGAAGATGTTAGATTTCAGAATATTTGTATAAACGAGATGATACATAAGAAACAGGACTTAATATCGCCTATATTTCACAAACGACGACGATTGTACATCATGAGAATAATATCACGCGTGAAAAGAAAAGATTACAAGTATTCAACAAATTGTGAAACACATGAAATATTTTAAAATACTTCTACATAGCTTATGAACGCGGAAAGATCAGATAATCCTTTTTCTCTATCTGGCAAAGGTTGAGTTTTATATTTTTATCACACCTTACTACGAAAACATGGGCTTCTAGGGTAATTAAAGTCTGAACGATTGTTAAAATTAATTCTGGACTTTACTCAAGTGTGTTGATTGAAGTTGGAGCGCAATCACCTTTTTAAAATATTTTTTGATATTCAAATACTCAATTTTTTCCAGAAACCCTTTTAGACATTACCAATTTCCATAGTCGATAAGTTATTTAGTGAGACGTTTATCTGTCGCCAGGAAATTAAAACATAACTTACGAGGGAAGTACCCCAAGTTGCAAAACAATTTTTTGATGAGACTAAGTGGACTATATGTAACTAATGACGCTGATTCCAAATATGAACGTCGGAGTTGCTCTGAGGCTTTTGTTGAACGGCTTTCTGAAAACTAAATCTTCAGAAAATCAGATACCAAATCGAGAAAACTTTTCTGAATCGGCCATTTTGTAGAGGACGCAAAATGGTGTATGTTGCATACTCTTTAGCTTGTCGAAACAAAAATCAACAGCGTGGAAAAATTTCCCAAAATAGTGGCTATGCTGATTTTGATGGAAAAATGTTGTAGTAGGCTACTTTGCAAAAAGCATAGCACCGTTCAATGGCATTTTGAAAAACTAAAACTTATGAAACATAGGCAGTTTTGTGTCTTCTACAAAATGGTCAATTCAGAAAAATTGTCTGAATTTGTTCTCTGGTTTTCAAAAAACCAGTCAACAAAAGTCTGAGGGTAAATCCGACATTCATATTTAAAATCAGCCTCACCAATTACGTATAGTCCACTTAGTTTCATCAAAAAAACGTTTTGCAGCTTGGGGTACTTCTCTTGTTAGTTTTGAAATGCTAAGAAAACTGTGTTTCTATGCTCTTTTTCAAAATGACTATTGTAGCGCCATGATTGACATTTCCCATATAGTATACACTATTCAGGTCAGCTGTGTCGAAATGACTATAGATTTTTCTGTAGATATATAGCTATGCTGTAATTTTTGCTCAAGATAAAAAAAAGAAAGAACTTTTTTTTTCTACGACATAAATTTTTTTAAACTCCTCTTTTAACCTATACTTTATTCAAGATCTTAACGACTTTGATTCGAGTAAATATCTTTCGCTGATACTTACCAGTAATTTGTCTCTACTTATTAGTAAACAATAAGAGTTACAATAATAATAATTTGTCAAATTATACATAAAAGTTCGACTATTACAGAGAAAAACGTCTTTTTAGATTGGATCTATTGTTGTTTGATGTCGATGTAACCATTAGTAGTAGATCACGATTATTCCATATAAAAAAAATGGATGGAGATGATGATGATACTATTTTAAATTGTCTAATTGATTGTTGTTGTAATGAATCTATGAGACATAGACCCTTATAAGTTGTTTTCTGTTCTGATTCTCTTTGTCGAGATCTACCATTTAAATAAAGATCATCTTTGACAATATAATCAATATAATTATTAACTATTGATTCAAATTTTCCTTCAATTAATAATAAACATTGATTATATTCTAAATAGATAATAGTTGAAGAATATTTTTGTTGATAAATGAATAGTGAACGTTTTAATAATAATTTTAATTGTGAACGTTTTAAATTATATTTATTATTAAGTTGATATTTTTCATAATTATCTTGTAATAATTGTTCACCAATTTCTTGATAAAAATATTTTTGTAATTCTAAATTATCTTGTCTTTGAAAAAATTGTAATAAATCATTATCAATAAGAATAAGTTCAACAATAGGAGTGATACATTTGTATTTATTTTCATCTAATGATTGTTTAATCATTGAACCATACTCATACTGATGACTATTATCACATTCAATAATGCCACGAATAATTAAATAGTAACATTTTATTGACAATAATTGTAGTGGTTTTAAATATTCATCATATTCATAAATTTGACGTTTATTTTGTAGAAGAGTTTGCAATTCATGTTATTTATAATGATCAGTTAATGTTTGATATAAAGGTAATTCAAAAAATAATTGACATGAATCGACATAACAATTATCGTATGGAATAAATTTTTTTAATTTATTAAAATATTTATCTAATAAAAATTTATATTCATTGTCCAATAATAAACCTTGAGTGTGTAAATGATCGACATTGTCACATTGAAAATTTAATAATTCTTGAACAATTATTTTTGTTTGATATTGTTGCCAAATTGATTTAAATGATCGTTTTATATTGATTAAAAATTGTTTACATTTTTCTTGATATTCTTTGTCTATATTTAATTTTTTGGTAGAATATAAATAATTTGTTGTTAAATCTAAGCTAACTTCAATATGTTTATTTAATTTTTTAAATATTTGTTTTTTAAGAAAACGAATCAGAAATGAATGATAAATTTTTTGAAATAAATAATTATTCTTGTAGATATAATTGAGATAAAATGATAATTTAAAATGTTTGCTTATATATGTCCATAATAATGATAAATCAGATTTTTGTTTCGCTTTTGTAGAGCATTCAACTAATGTATTCAATGTTGATCGTTTAATCATTTGTTTTGACCATTGTTGTTCGTAGTTATAGATCATTTGTATAATCAGATGTTCGTCGTCTATAGATGAGGATTCGAATGGTTCAAATAGTAATTGATGTCGATAAAAACTTACATCGTCTTCATTAGAGACAATATCTATTGATAAAAATGAAGAAAAATCGTGATAATGTTTAATAAGGTGACAGAAATACAAAAAAGGAGCAGAATATTTTTTGATAACTTCATACATGGTTTGATAGAGTTCGTCGCGTTCAGTAAGAATATGACATTTTTAATTTTTTAAACCATATATTGGTGAGAAATCTTTAAAATACAAGTCACCTCTTAAAAAAACGAAAATTTGATGAGTTTCGAGAAAATTCAAGATTTCATTACTTTGTACTTACTCTACTTACTCATCTTTCATACATCATTCAAACCGTCAGGTGACACGGAAGAAAACTATGTATAGCTATTTTGGAATTTTTTTTCCCCTCGCCGAGAAAATTCGACTTTACTGGGAAAAGTCGAAATTCACCCCCTAATTCACAATTTTCTCCACCAGAACTCAAGTTTACTAAACGAAAATAGCATATTCGGAATTAGCGTAAAAAATCGAGTCGAGTAATACATATTTCAAAATGTTTCGTTGATTTTCATTTTTTTAATGAAAATCTCAGTAACTATTGGATACAAAAAAAATTAAGGCGGTCGAATAGGATAAGAAAGTATACCATTCGACTCGATTTTTGACGCTGATTCTGAATATGATATTTTCATTGCGTAAAAGTTGAGTTTCTGATGGAGAAAATTGCGACTTAGGAGGTGAATTCCGACTTTTTCCAGTGGGGTCGACTTTTCTTATGGAGGGAACAAAATTTCAAAATGGCTATAGATACTTTTTATCCTTGCCACCTGATGGTTTGAATGATGTATGAAAGATGATTTTAACTCTTGAGGCAAAAAAGGAGATAGATTTACAAGAGACAAGTGTTAGTGTGTTCCAAGACGGTGTTCAAGCTAGCTGAACGAGAGCGCTGCGATCAACTTTACTCATATTCAGGTTTCGATGCTGAATCCGAATAAAATGTTTCCACTTAAGTAGAGTAAGTGTAAAGCAATGAAATCCTGAATTTTCCCGAAACTCATCAAATTTTCGTTTTTTAAGGGATAACTTGTATTTTACAGATTTCTCACCCAAATTATGGTTTAAAAAAAATTAAAAATGTCACGAACTCTGTCATACCATGTATGAAGTTATCGAAAACATTTTCTGCTCCTCTTCTGCTTTTCCGGCACCTTAACGTTTTATTGTTCTTTAAGAAATCAATTGCTTTAGCATTATTATTTTAATATGTCGGTATTTTTCAAAAAAAAAGCTATAGAGAAAAAAGGTATATATAACTCCCCCCCCCCTCCCAAATCGAGAGACATGGCGTTCTATTATGTCCCAGCGGATCAAACTTTTTAGGCTGGCTTCCTGTTAGGAGTGACTTTCTAATCCGAATAAAAGTTTTCGAAACTCGTAAGATGCGCGTAAGGCAAACTTCGAATTTTTTTTTTCTTTTGACTCCTTTATACACCATTCGATAGGGAATTGAACGGAGATCACGAATATGCGGCACTGAGATGTTTTAGAGACTTTTTTGTGGTCGAAAAATCAAGAAAACTCGAGATGCCCCGAAAATCGGAAAAGCATCCGTTTTCGAAAAAACGCTGTAGTTTCGCCGCAACACATCGTGGAGCTCTGCGGTTAGAATATTTAGATTCAGAATTGTAAGTTGAACCTAGTCATGTGCTTTCCAAAGCTCCAGAACCAAAAATCGAGGCAAGTCGCCCATCACATCCGCTTTTTGTAAACCTATCTCCTCCTACAGTTCGACAGATAGAGCCCTAATTCACACATGGTTAGATGCGCTAGACACTCCTCTACAACACAGTGAAGAGCTTTCGTTGTGCTCGCTGAGAAAAGTCTACTTTACTGGGAAAAGCCGAAATTCTGACCCTAATTCGCAACTTTGTCCATCAGAACTGAACTTTCACGTAATGAAAATATTATATTCGGAATCAGGATCGAAAATCGAGTCGAATGATATATATTTCAAAGTTTTTCGTTGGTTTTCATTTTTTTGTGAAAATCTCAGTAATTCTTCGACGTGAAAATTCGAAAAAAATTCAGCTGATCAAATAAGATAAAAAAGGACATCATTCGACTCGATTTTCGATCCTGATTCCGAATATAATATTTTCATTACGTGAAAGTTCAGTTCTGATGGACAAAGTTGCAAATTAGGGTCAGAATTTCGGCTCTTCCCAGTAAAGTAGACTTTTCTCAGCGAGCAAAACGAAAGCTCTTCACTGTGTTGTAGAGGAGTGTCTAGTGCATCTAACCATGCGTGAATTAGGGCTCTATCTGTCAAACTGTAGGAGGAGATAGGTTTACAAAAAGCGGATGTGATGGGCGACTTCCCTCGATTTTTGATCCTGCCAAAAATCGAGTTTTGGTTCCGGAGCTTTGGAAAGCACATGACTAGGTTCAACTTATAATTCTGAATCTAAATATCTCAACCGCAGAGCTCCACGATGTGTTGTGGCGAAACTACAGCGTTTTTTCGAAAAACGGATGTTTTTCCGGTTTTCGAGGCATCTCGAGTTTTCTTGATTTTTCGACCACAAAAAAGTCTCTAAAACATCTCAGTGCCGCATATTCGTGATCTCCGTTCAATTCCCTATCGAATGGTGTATAAAGCAGTCAAAAGAAAAAAAGAAAATTCGAAGTTTGCCTTACGCGCATCTTAAAAAGCTTAGAATAATGATTTTTTCGTTGCATAATGGTTAACTAATTGGTGCTCTAGAGCACTCAACAACTGAGAACACGAGTTTTAGACTGCCTTTATATCTCCGAAATTTTGCTAACCGAAAACAGTAAGTTGAAAGCTCGTTATACAGGCAATTAAGCTGTTGTTGTTGCAATTGCTATTGAATTTTTGCTCTTCTCTGAGCTTCTGGCACTTCTCGTTCATCAACATCAGTTATGAGGATCAGTGTACTTATTGTCTAGTTTCTATCGATTTGAGCGTAATGAAATTGGTCGTGATGGCTGAATCAATTACACTTCACTATGCTGAATGTTTAGGGTTATTCGATAGAGGGGATAATTAAGAAAGAAGAGTCATACTCTCTACTCTGTCACAACTCCCTGTTGTGAACATGCGAAAAGTCCAAGACCGAAAACATGCATAATTTCATGTTTTCTAGAAGTCAAATGCTGAAAAATTTTTGAAAAAAGTAGCTTGGTCGCATTAGAAGACCATAGCTTTCTAATATGGCTTTAACAGAATTACTAGGTTCTAAAACAGCGTAGCTTTCTATTCTGGGAGAGGGTTATTTTCTTTTTGACTTACTATCATCTATGAAACAGACATTGAATAGCGGATTTTGTCTCGTTTGATTATCACTTATATCTTCTTCTCCTCTTTGAATTATACACCGATACATCTCATTCCACTGTATACCATCATGTTCACTATAATTTTGTTTTATTGATTGTAATTTTTTTAAAGTTATTAAATTTAAATAAGTTTGTATCTTTTTAATTGAAACAATTGATTGTTCTTGTAAATGATTTAATTTTAACAAATATTTTACCAAATATTTACTTGTTATACCATTGATACATAGTGTGAGTAGAACAATAATCGATACATGAAATAAAATTTTCTGACAATAACCATCATCTGTATTCTCCAAATAGACCAATAAAACACCAATTAATGATATGATGCCTCGTAGACCAGACCAGACTAACATAAAGTATTCATTTAATGTTAACTTGACACCACTCAAACGTATCAATGGATATAGGATAACAATAGTTATTAAACGTATAAATTGTATAATAAGATACAATAGTATAGAATAACCAAAGTCAATCGATGTTATTTGTGATACAGTTGAATAAAAAAACGTTTTAGCTAAAATAAATCCAATTATTGTAAATACACATATATTTATAAAATAAACAATTAATTTCCATATCGATTGTAATTGTTGTTGTAAATTATAACTAATGGAATATTTATGTTTCGATAGATAAATACCAAATACACAAATAGTAAGAATTCCAGATAAACCTAATTCAGTATCACCAACATAGAAGATGATGTACGTTAAAGCAAATGTTAAACTAATTTCGATTTCTAATTGATTCCGAATATGATTTAAACACCATACAGTTGCAATACCTGAACATATACCAAATAATGGGCTACCTATAATAAATGTATTGATGAACGTGGTTAATGAAAGAAAAAAATTCATTTAATGCATAAAAGTCTAAAACTAATTAGTTTATTAGTTCAAGTATTTGAGATTTTACTAATGAGACGATGATGGCGTTATTGTTTTGATTTAAATAAAAATTCGAGAATAAGTTCTAGAGTAAGAATGCACGAGATGGACATAAAATCTTTCGTATTCCGCACAAGTTGGATCATGAACTTCGAGTCTGGTTGAACGCGATCACAAAATGAAGGAAATTCGCTATTTTTTTTCAAGAATTTTTCACTTTCTTCATGCGTCGTATCTATAGTTCTCAGAACAAAAATCGGCTGCGTATTCGAAATTTTATGTTCTAACATAAAATTTCGTCACAATAACAGTCAATTTTATCAAAATTATAAAATTAATACGTCAACATGTAACTTTTTGGTAAAAATTTACTATCAACAAAAATTTAGCATAAATTCAAAATCGTCTTACTTACTACTACATACCTATTGTAGTTTTAACAATTTCTACATTCACTTGTTGTTGTTGTTGAACAGTTAATAAACGTGAAAATATTGAAAATATAATAAATGCAACACCATCATTTAAAAATGATTCCGAATCAATTAATTGTGTTAATAAATGATTACAACCATTATCATGTAATAGAGCAACAACAGCGACAGGATCTGTAGCACTTAATATTGAGCCAAATAAAATAGATTGAATCCATGACCATTTATAAGGAAAAGCATAACGACTGAAAATTCCAATTAAAACAGTTTGTATAGCAACACCTAGAAAAACAAAATTGTGTTTATTATAGTTTATAAGTATAGTGGCGTAGCCAACAGATAGGCATGGGGTGTATCAGCCTATCCATTAAATATTTTTCGATACAATTTATCACGACGAAGTAATTTCGATTTAAAGTAGAAATCCACAATCTCCATTATCAATTCAATTAGTTCAGTATTATATGTTTAAACATCTCTCTCGGACACCACTTCAAAATTATATAATGCGCTGGTAGTGTATCAGAAACATTTTCTTTCTCTCCCTCGCAATTTATGAACATTATTTATACAACATGACTACGTGATACTTATATAAGGGGTCCTACAAGCATTGCGAACAGTGATCAAAATAGGAGCCCATATTACTTTCTAACTTTCGTATTTACACCAAAATCTGAGGGTTTTTAGAGATATTATAGGTTTTTTCAAATTGTTGTACATCGCTTTTATATGCCATCGCACTTGTTTTAGTAAAAGGTTAGCATATTTTGTTCACATTCTGCCAAAAAAATATTTTATATAAATAATTTACCGACATCTTCGTTTTCTACCCTTTCTTTTCGGTGCATTCTGATCACCAATTAGTGACGTTGAAATAGACGAGAGGAATTCTACGTAAGTTATCTTTTGTTGACTCAAATTATTGTAACGGGGCGAAC